TTTAGACAAAGTAAAACTATAATGAGAAAAGTTCCAACACTTAAACTCAAAACAAGTTCATTGCCAAGTTTTCCGGTTTGACTATGAACTGAAGTGTAGAAAACAGAAAACTCAGGAAAGATAAAACATTTTAAAAGTTTATTTCAAGGTTTTGCTGGAATGTCTCTCCCTCAGCCCAGCAGGATGTGGATTTATTTGAATGTATCTGAAAGGGGATGGAAGACGCATGAAGATTTCAAAACCTCATAGCTGGTCTAGGGAAGAGGAGAGATGTCCAGGGTGTCCAATGTCCAAGTGTTCAGGGTTCAGAATGTCCAAAGTTCCAGGTGTTCAAAGAGTCCATGGGTCCAGGGGTTCTGAGATCTTGGTGTCCAAGAGTCCAGTGGTCCAGGAAAGTGATGAAAGGGAGGTCAGGTGAATCCAGAAGAGAGGGACAGTGGAGAGGTGATAGTTTCAGAGCTTCAAACAGGAGTGTGGAATTAAAAAAACACAAATAACAAATTGACCTACCCATGGTGAGGTGAGGTCATCCTGAAAGGGGCAGCAGAAGAAAGAAACTCACCCTGGGATTCTGTCTGGTCCAGTTGCTTTAGATGGCTCGGTCCTGCAGAGGCAGCGGTTACAGCAGCAGAATGGACGTCCAACGTCTGCATGGAGGTCACTGACGGTCAGGTAAAGTTTGCTGCGCCATCGTCTTTGAGCTACAAAAACAAAACAACACAACATGAGAAGGTGAGGGGGTCATGGGGTCAGAGGTTAATAAAACACTCACTGACAAGAGATTCAGCTAGCAGAGAGAACGGTCTGACTGAGAAGGTTTTTGGTTCACATTCAGAAAAATGATGTTTGTAAATAAACAGACGGATGAGAAACACCTGCTAATGTGTTTAAAAGTCATGAGACAAGTATTAAAACAAAAGAGATGTCATATTATTCCCACTATGGAGTCTGTGATACAGTCAGTGGTACGGTGCTGGTCTCAGGTCAGGCTGGCCCCCAACAACCCCCCCAACCCAGGTCTGCATCAAGGTGGAGATGTCTCAGTAGGGAGAAGACGTGTGAACACAGGAAGTGATTGAAGTAGAGCTTCACACACACACACACACACACACACACACACACACACACACACACACACACACACACACACACACACACACACACACACGCACGCACATACACACACACACACACACACACACACACACACTGTCTTACTAGTTATAGATACTTCCCTGAACAGCCTCTGTTTAGATAAATAGAGTTTACATCCTACAGGACAACCTCAGGGCCCCTAGAGACTGCCTCCGACCTGGGTCTGAGGTCTGAACTAGAGCCCTGCACGGGCCTAAAATCTGAGCCCGTGTCCGGCCCGGCCCGTGGGGATGGAGCCCCAGCCCGACCCGGTCCGAAAAGGTTTTCAGGATTCTCTGGCCCGACCCGAGCCCGACTTTGTTTTAACCAACTAAATGAAAACAAAGTGCGTCAATCCTGACCAATGTGTTAAAAGACGTGCAGGATCCGATCAATTTGTTTTTCCCTCGTTTACTGTCACGGAGATAACGGCGCCTGGCTCTGGTGGTAATCAAGTTAAATTTTATCTCTTTCCAACAATTTTCACAAGAAAGCAGAACAGTTAAAAGCAGGGCTTGTGTTGTGTTGACCGGATAGTTCCCGTATTTGACCGTTTATTTTGACGGAGAAAGAATAGAAAGCATTACCCCGACGCATGCAGACGAACTGACATTTTATTTGTTACACACATCACAGATGTAGCTAAATCACCCAAGAAAAGATTCCCATCTGAACATCTGAGCTGGACATTGCTCAGCGCAGCTCGCTGTCAGCATCAGCGCATATGTGCACAGTGAGCTGAAGTTGTGGAGATTGGCTTGGAGCGCGTTGCAGAACCAGAGCGCATGCGGGAAGGTTCCTCCCACTTAGAAAATGTTCCCTGATTATGAAACTTTGGCTGAATAGCGCTTGTTCCTGTCTCCAATGTGGCGACACATCCAGGAGCCGTCTGAGGAGAAGCCCAAAATCTCACATCCTCTTCAGCTCAGGAAGCGCACATGATTACGCACAAGCGTGACACGTCAACCCGGTCTCACAGTAAGACCGGGTTGAGCCTGTTCAGGTTTACGCAGACAATCTTTACATAGAATTGACTTACAGATATAAAATTAATTCAGTAAAATATAAAGCATTTTATTTAAATATCCATTCATTATTTTACAAGCACTGAGAGCCGCATCAGATGGATGGAGGAGCCGCGGGTTGCCGACTCCTGGTATAGCCTATAAAATGACATGTTTTCTCCAGGACCAGAGAGGTCGCAACCTCAATACATCTCTTTTATTGTGAGGTAATAATTTCTCTGAGTTTTGCTGTTGCGGGTGGGAGTGTAACACACACGTTGCAGTTGCAGGCGGTAATGGTCAGAAATTCAGCGGGAGCGGGCAGGAGCGGGATGAAGAAAACAGTCCCGCGCGGGGTTCTACTGCTGCGTTTAAGTGTTTCACTTCTTTTAATGAATTTGATTAAAAATAAAGGCGCCCGGACCGGCCCGTGTCCGAGGTAATTACACAGTCGTCGGGCCGGGCCGACCCGAGGACCTAGGGCTTCAGTGCAGGGCTCTAGTCTGAACGACGGACTCACAGGACTTTTAAACAAATGCAATTTCAGATAAATCCCATCAGTCTGGGAGCCTAAATCTAGAAGCTTTCTAAAAGACTAAGTATATGTATAATTTCTATAAATTATACTTCTATTGAAACCCATCACTGGTCTGAATGTGGGTTTACAAACAGTAAAACCTTAGAAAAGTGAACACAACAAAGTATATATAAAAAGATATTCCAGATGTTGGTCACTGGCTGCGGCTGCTCCCCCCTGGGCTGCTGGACGCTGCAACAGAAAGATAAAAATACCATCAGTTCTGGGACTTTTTAAAGGAAACACTTAGCTTCTACAACCTGAATAAAACCAACATAAAGCATATAATCACACATGTAAAGTTAATCTAAATCCATTCAATAGTCAAGCTGCAGAGTCTCTGCCATCTGCCCTCTGTTTTTCTCCGTGTCTGCTTCGTTGATGTCACTTTCACAAAGTGCATTTGTAGTCCTGGACTTATTACACAAAACTTAAAATAACGTTTCCTCCCTTTCGAAAATAAACACGTTCTTGGTATTAAAATGCATCTTCATGGACATCATATGTGAAATCCATGGCACATAACAAGCGGAATCAGAAAACAGCATTTTTAGCCCCGTTGACTTGCATTCATGTTTTTGTTCTTCCGGGAACCCGTGGTCTGGAAGTAGATGGGCATGACTTCGGCTCCCTATGGAGCACTGTCTGTCACCTATGACAGAATGTGGAATCTTGCGTTACCATAGTTACAGCTCAGGTGCATCGTTTAAAATGCTTTATTATTAAGGCTAGAACCTTTCAGACTTCAGTATAAGTTCCATCTCGAGAGAGTAGGACCTTTTCTCTGCGGTCTCTGTGTTTGCTGACTTTAGTCTTCCAGAGAGCACCTCTAGCAGGTAATACAACTACCCACAAACAACCTAGCCCAACATCTGACATGTTTAGACTTTTAGATGTATCTGAAGTGTTTCCTGTGCTTTACTGGGAGACTTTAACATCCCTCAAGGTAAACTGGTTTTATCATTTATATAAAATACACCTGCTGGAAAAAACAAAATAAACAAAAAACCCTTAAGCAGGTCAGATTACAGATAAACAGTCAAGATAAAACTACTTTGAATCTGAAATATGAGTTATAAACGTATATTTCTATAACTAGACCTACATGCTATCTGCCGTGTACAGTAGTGATGTCTGGTGAAGGGACTGGTCTTTATTTCTGCACCAGTTTGTCAGAAATAGAAATAAATGCCACTTTTCATCAGTGAATAAGTTATAACTTTAATAACATTAAGTGAACAAACTATTTAGACTTGTTTACATTTTAAAATGGATCCATCAGCTAATAGAAGAGTCATTTGGCTTGATTTAGCAAACAGAAAAGTCAAGAGGCTCAACTGCAGGTTATCTTTATGTACGTATTGAACTTCTAAGTAACGTATAGTTTTTGTCACGTTGCTCTTTGATTAAACACTACCAGGAAAGCTGAAATCTCTGTTTATATTTAAAACCTTTACTGCTATATGAGCATCAAGACCAAAGAGAAATGTATTTGATGTCAAACGGTTTGTTATTTGTCTGAAGAGGATTGTATCATAAAGTTCTGATATCTTTTTATTAAATATATTTCTACGTCATCAAACATCTGTTCTCTGATCCGATCATTCTCATGCATATGAGGTACACCTGATGATGGCTCCTTTTATGTTAAATCACGTTTAGAGGGACAGGATGACAGAATTTAAAATGCAAACAAAAATAAATATTTTAAAAAGTAATGAAGTTATTGAATATAACATAATATGTCAAGTTTTTCTTTATTTGTACTTTACTTATTTTCTTCAGGTCTACTTTTCACTTTTACTTCACTCATTTTTAAAGCCACTATCCGCACTTCCTACTTCACTACAATAGGGAGCCTACGACTCCTCCCTTTCCGGTCGGCTCACGGGTCCCCGGAAGAAGGAAGTGCAAGTCAACGGAGCTAAAACTCTATTTTCTAATCTGCTTTGCCTTACGTCCTGGATCGCACACATGCTGTACTTCAATTTAAATGACATCCAACGATGCGTGTTTCAATCATCCCAGTCACGTACTTAGAAATGTATCATCTTGTAAATGTTCGATGTTAGCGTGACTACAAATCCGACATCGACACGTTGCATGTATGACGTCACCACAGAGTCTCTGCCATCTGCCCTCTGTTTTTCTCCGTGTCTGCTTCGTTGATGTCACTTTCACAAAGTGCATTTGTAGTCCTGGACTTATTTCACAAAACTTAAAATAACGTTTCCTCCCTTTCGAAAATAAACACGTTCTTGGTATTAAAATGCATCTTCATGGACATCATATGTGAAATCCATGGCACAAAACAAGCGGAATTAGAAAACAGCATTTTTAGCCCCGTTGACTTGCATTCATGTTTTTGTTCTTCCGGGAACCCGTGGTCTGGAAGTAGATGGGCATGACTTCGGCTCCCTATGGAGCGCTGTCTGTCACCTATGACAGAATGTGGAATCTTGCGTTACCATAGTTACAGCTCAGGTGCATCGTTTAAAATGCTTTATTATTAAGGCTAGAACCTTTCAGACTTCAGTATAAGTTCCATCTCGAGAGAGTAGGACCTTTTCTCTGCGGTCTCTGTGTTTGCTGACTTTAGTCTTCCAGAGAGCACCTCTAGCAGGTAATACAACTACCCACAAACAACCTAGCCCAACATCTGACATGTTTAGACTTTTAGATGTATCTGAAGTGTTTCCTGTGCTTTACTGGGAGACTTTAACATCCCTCAAGGTAAACTGGTTTTATCATTTATATAAAATACACCTGCTGGAAAAAACAAAATAAACAAAAACCCCTTAAGCAGGTCAGATTACAGATAAACAGTCAAGATAAAACTACTTTGAATCTGAAATATGAGTTATAAACGTATATTTCTATAACTAGACCTACATGCTATCTGCCGTGTACAGTAGTGATGTCTGGAGAAGGGACTGATCTTTATTTCTGCACCAGTTTGTCAGAAATAGAAATAAATGCCACTTTTCATCAGTGAATAAGTTATAACTTTAATAACATTAAGTGAACAAACTAGACTTGTTTACATTTAAAAATGGATCTAGTGTTGAACGAGTTCCTGATTAAAAAGAGCAAAGGCTGCTGAATAAACCCTCTGGGATTAATAAAGTACTTTTGAATTGAATAAAGTGATTTCTCCAGCTGTGCTTTTATAATCTAGATCTACACGCCGTGGTTTCTGGTCGCTGTAGTGATGCTGACTCTCAGCTGGGATCTGTGGCTGTTTCGTTCACATCTGACCTAAAACTGAGCAGAAGGATGTGAACAGAAATCCTTTTTGTTTCCATCTCCGTTTGATCCTAAAAGTGTGTTTCTGAACGAGCCGGATAAGAAAACGAAGCACAGCCTGATGTTAACAACACAATTGAAAGTTTCTCTTCATAGATCTGAAACCTGCTGAGACAAAAACATAAAGCATCTCCAGTGAGACTGCGTTCGGTTTAAAACATGAAGAATAAACTAAATTCACAACTGAAATCCAAACGTTTCACTTAGTGAAGGAAAACACAACAATAATCTTCAGAAACTGGTGTTTAAACAGAGGGCTGGAGATGAAATGGTTCACATGTAACAGCTGTTGCTTCGGTCGCTGTGATAAACATGGATCCGACTGTAGAAACTGATCAGAGATCAGTTTGTTACCAGTAACAGTGGATGTGATGTTTCCTGTTTGATGTCTCTGATGCCATGATGTCTGACGTCTTGTGACGGGTTTTAAAGCTTCTTCTTCTCATCCTGTGTCACAGAACGATGGAGGACAACATGAACCTCCTGGAGAGTTTTGAGAGTTACATGGGGGACTTCTCCCTTCTGGACGAGATCCTTCAGGACTACCAGGCCTTTCCTTTTTCTACTCCACCTTCTCCTCTTCTTGAACATCCTCCCTCACCTCTCCTTCCTTCTATTTCTCCTCCACCTTCTCCTCTTCTTCGACATTCTCCCTCACCTTTCCTTCCTTCTTTTCCTCCTGCTTCACCTCCCCCTCCTCCATCTCCTTTTTTAGCTCCTCCACTTTCTCCTACTGCTTTTCTTTACCTCCCACCCTCTCCTCCTGTTGTTTCTTCTCTGCCATCACCTCATACTCCCACTGTCTCTTTTCTGCCTCCATCCTTTCTTCTTCCTGACATTCCACCTGCTGCTCCTGTTTCTCCTCCTCATACTCCCACTGTCTCTTCTCTGCCTCCATCCTTTCTTCTTCCTGACATTCCACCTGCTGATCCTGTTTCTCCTCCTCATACTTCCACTGTCTCTTCTCTGCCTCCATCCTTTCTTCTTCCTGACATTCCACCTGCTGCTCCTGTTTCTGCTCCTCATACTTCCACTGTCTCTTCTCTGCCTCCATCCTTTCTTCTTCCTGACATTCCACCTGCTGCTCCTGTTTCTGCTCCTCATACTTCCACTGTCTCTTCTCTGCCTCCATCCTTTCTTCTTCCTGACATTCCACCTGCTGCTCCTGTTTCTGCTCCTCATACTTCCACTGTCTCTTTTCTGCCTCCATCCTTTCTTCTTCCTGACATTCCACCTGCTGCTCCTGTTTCTCCTCCTCATACTTCCACTGTCTCTTCTCTGCCACCATTCTTTCTTCTTCCTGGCATTCCTCCTGCTGCTCCTGTTTCTCCTCCTCATACTTCCACTGTCTCTTCTCTGCCTCCATCCTTTCTTCTTCCTGGTACTCTACCTGCTGATCCTGTTTCTCCTCCTCATACTTCCACTGTCTCTTCTCTGCCACCATTATTTCTTCTTCCTGGCATTCCTCCTGCTGCTCCTGTTTCTGCTCCTCATACTTCCACTGTCTCTTCTCTGCCACCATTCTTTCTTCTTCCTGGCATTCCACCTGCTGCTCCTGGTTGTGCTCCTCATACTTCCACTGTCTCTTCTCTGCCACCATTCTTTCTTCTTCCTGGCATTCCACCTGCTGCTCCTGGTTGTGCTCCAGTCTCTAACCCAAAGTAAGTTTTGACTTGACCGTTTCAGAATAAAATATCTATAAAGTTGACCACATTCCCAGGATGTAGATGCTGACAGGTTTGTGTTGTGTTCTGTCTCTACAGTAAGAGAAAGCGTGAGCACCAGCAGCAGGACCGCCCCTATGTGAAGAAGCCACTAAATGCCTTCATGATCTTCCTGCGGGACCAGAGGCCAAAGGTGGTGGCTGAGCTGAATCCGAAAGACAGCGCTGCTGTCAACGCCGTCGTAGGCCAGAGGGTAAGTGTGTTTGCGACAGAATGATGATGGTTTTGCTTCCGTGGATTATTTTTCACCAACAGCTTGTCTCACTCTCTTCTGTTCACAGTGGAGGGAACTGTCTCCTGAGCAGAGGAGCATCTACTTCGACCAGGCTCACGAGGAACAGAGGCTCCACATGCAGCAGCACCCGGGCTGGGTCCCCAACTACAACCCTGTACGTACACTCTGCACACACACCATGAACTCACACACCTGATGCTGATGAACACTTACTGATATAAAACTCTTGTGTGTGTTTTTGGGACCAGAAGGCAAAACGCGTTAAGAAGGAGCCAGCCGCCAGCTCTGCAGGTAAGAAACATTTGTGTGGATCATTAGATGTGATGATGTCACCACAGCTTGACTGTTGAATGGATTTAGATGAACTTTACATGTGTGTTTGTATGCTTTATGTGAATGTTTGTGTTGGTTTTATTCAGGTTGTAGAAGCTAAGTGTTTCCTTTAACAAGTCCCAGAACTGATGGTATTTTTTATCTTTCTGTTGCAGCGTCCAGCAGCCCAGGAGGGAGCAGCCGCAGCCAGTGACCAACATCTGGAATATCTTTTTATATTTCCTTTGTTGTGTTCACTTTTCTAGTGTTTTACTGTTTGTAAACCCACATTCAGACCAATGACCACACACACACACACACACACACACACACACACACACACACACACACACACACAGAGACACACACACACACACACACACACACACACACAAGCACTCACGCATGCACACACGCACGCACGGACACACATCGCATACACGGACACACATGCACGCACACACACGCACACACACAGATCGCACACACACACACATTGCACACGCACGCACATACATCGCACACACACACACACACACACACACACGCACACATCGCATGCACACACACACACACACACACACACACACACACACACACACACACACACACACACACACACACACACACACACACACACACACATACACACACACACACACACACACACACACACACACACACACACACAGATAAACGCTAATTCTTTGTGGGACAGGGTTTGGGACCTGGGTGAGGGTGGGATGGGTGAGGTTGTCAACCAGCAGCCTCGCCCTTCAACCACCTGCTCTGACCCTTGACCTGTCCTCTTAGTTTTTGCACCACAGACACGTCACTTTTTTTTTCTTTCTTTTCTGGAGGGTGGGGACAATGGTAAGTTGGGAATCTGCTATCTGCAACTAGTAGGATTCCCCTGTCAGGACACCACCTCCCCTTTCTTATTGCATGCACACGCACACACACATCAAGCACACACACACACATGCACACACATCGCACACAGATCGCACGCACGCACACACACACACACACACACACACACATTGCACACGCACACACACACACACACACACACACATCGCGCACGCACGCATGCACACATGCACATACACATGAAGCACGCATGCACCTATGCACACACATCGCGCACACACACACACACACACACACACACACACACACACACACACACACACACACACACACACACACACACACACACACACACACACGCACACATCGCATGCACACACACACACACAGACTTACTCACACACAGATAAACGCTAATTGTTTGTGGGACAGGGTTTGGGACTAGGGTGAGAGTGGGATGGGTGAGGTTGTCAACCAGCAGCCTCGCCCTTCAACCACCTGCTCTGACCCTTGACCTGTCCTCTTAGTTTTTGCACCACAGACACGTCACTTTTTTTTCTTTCTTTTTCTGGAGGGTGGGGACAATGGTAAGTTGGGAATCTGCTATCTGCAACTAGTAGGATTCCCCTGTCAGGACACCACCTCCCCTTTCTTATTGCACGCACACACACACACACACATCAAGCACGCACACACACACACATTGCGCACGCACGCACACACACACACACACACACACACACACACACATCGCACACGCACACACATCAAGCACGCACACACATCGCACACACACACACACAGGCAAGCACGCACACACATTTTAGTAAATTAACTCAATCTGTTTTTTGTGGCTTTTTTCATTCCAGACTGGACCCTTGGACACCTGGCACACTGGACACCTGGAACCCTGGACACTTGGACACCTGGACCCCACGACACCTGAGACCTTGGACCCTCAGACGCCTGGAACACTGGACACTGACACTTTGACACCTGGACCCTACGACACCTGGGTCCTTGGATCGTCAGACACTGGACACATGCACAAAAACCTTTTAATAAACCTTTTAAATGTTTCATCTTTGCTCAGTTTTTTGTTTTCTACACTTCAGTTCATAGTCAAACCTGAAGACTTGGCAATGAACTTGTTTTGAGTTAAAATTGTCACGATGGGGAGCCAAGAGGAGGTTAGGACCCAAAGATGCAGAGAATCAGATGACGCTTAGTGGAGCAATAAAGTAAAAATCCTTTTATTAATGATCCGTCCAAAAAGGCAGGGAGCCAAAACACAAAATCAAAGTCCCAAAATACAAAACCTTGAATCCAAAACGAAGATCCAAGACTAGAGAGGGAAACAAGCCAAAGGTGACCCAACCACAGACAGAGACACAGACAGGGTTATATACACTGGGGCATGATGGGAGACAGATAGGCTGCAGGTGTGTGGGGAGAGAAACCAAGTAAAAGCAATTAACTAATCAGGGAGGAAACTAACATGACCTAAGAGTTAAAACCTAAAGACAAGAAAAGCAGCTAAAATAACTAATAGTCTAAGGGGGAAGAAAAACTACAAAAACCGGGGGGAAAACACACTAAAGAGACTAATAAAATGAAAAGCTGAACCTAAAAAAACTGCAGAGGGGTGACTGGGGGAGACCAATGGAACACAGGACCTGGGAGGGATAATCTGGAGGGCTGAAGACCAGGGGACACATGAGGAGCACAAAGAGACACATAAGGGGATTCTTAGAGGGGAATGGAGCACACAAGGAAACACATGAGGGAGACGCAGACGCAGACCATGACAAAAATGTTCAAACTTTTCTCATTATAGTTTTACTTTGTCTAAATCTGAACAATGGGGTTCATTTTTTTTCTATAGTCAGTTTACCACAGCTACAGCTGAACCAAGCTGCTTCACAAGGTGAGGAACAGATTAAAACCATCGACATGTACACTGAACAATTTGTGCCCAAATGGGAGGTTCCCATCGCTGCCACTTTGACTGTGTCACAGGTCCCGTCATGCCCAGACAATCCAAAAATGGGAAAAGAGGTGGAGCTAAGGGTGGCGCTGCTCAGTTTGGAACAGGGTTGGAACAAATGAACCAGTGTAGCTACTAGCTAACTTGGATAACCCAAGAAGCTAAGAAGGGCTCCTTGGACCGGAATATCCCACCCGCACGGCAGACTGGCTCCCATGCAAAGCTGTAGTCATGATGGTTGCCTGTGGAGATCTAATATGGACTGGGACTGTTAAATTACAAGCGATGCCTCAGACCGCTGCAATCGTAACAGGGTGCTGTCATAAGTGCCTCATGACACTAATCCAGATTATGCGTTTTTGTTATTTTAAGGATTTTTTCCCCTAAAATCCAGGTAACAAAAAAAATATCTTTTGATTATGCTAAATGGTCAACTACACCAGGGATTCCCAAAGTGTGGTGCGCGCACCCCCGGGGGTGCGCGAGGTGAAAAGTGTAATGGCTGCGGAGCTCAGAGAAGTCTGTCATATGTCACCATTAGCGTAGCCAGAAACTCATTTGTGGGTGGGCCTAAGAAAAAGTAAGTGGGCACAATAAATGTAATTGAAAACAAGTATATTTTTGCGCGTGTGTCCTCCACATGTGCCCTAGCTTCATAATAACAATGCGCCGAGCTTCAGCACTCTGGCCTGCGCACGCCGATATGTTCCGTATTTGATCATTTTTAACGGTGTTGGAGGAATCTGAAGGTGGCAAGTCATTCTGGCAGATTGTAATTAACACCTGTCTCATGCAGGTGTTCTGACATTGTAAACCTCACACACAGAACATTGTGGATGTAACAAAATAAATCAAGAAATGATTCCCATTCAGGCTATTAACAGCGCGCTGAAGATCTGAAGTTCAGAGTGCGTCTGTCAGAGGTCAGACGTGTTCCAGCGGAACCACGGCTCACGGGTGCACAAGTGAGCACATCTGGGCTCGGCAGAAGTAATTTTACAACATTGGTTTAAATAGCGCCACGTTACGAGGCGCGGTGACTGGAGCGGCTCATGGAGCTGTGCCGCGCGCGCGCGCGCGCACACACACACACACACACACACAGAGATTCAATAAGCGCGCACGCTGCGCAAACTCCGGCGCGCCGTCAGACTGAAGACAGAAATGAGCGCTGCCTCCTCTGTGATAAAAACTTTTAAGAAGTTGCAACATTTTTAATTCAAGGTCAAATTAAGATATTAGCTTCTATTTTGGGATGACGTATTAAAGTCGGGTCCGCTCCAGCCAGTGACTCCGAACCTGACTCATGTTACTGCAGCATTATTTATTCCAGTCCGCGTGGCAGCGGATCGCAGATTCAGCCACACCATAAAACAGCAATAAATCGGTCTGGCTATATATCTTTTCCATATTTTCCCCATAGACATTTGATTACGCACAAGTAGGGGACCAGTTCAGGTTTACGCAGAGCCGAAGGAAGGAGAGAGCTTTGGCCGCACAGGTTAAACGTTCCTACTTTAAGAAAACCGTTAAACTGCATTGTTTATGTGCTACCTGGGCACTCTAAATATTTATTTAAAATTAAATCAAAGGAAATTGTAATGGTATCGAATGCTTATTAATTACTATTTAAAAAATGAAAGTGATGGGGAAAAGGTCGATCATATTTTTTTAACCCTGTCTGTTTAGCTTGACGTCTGATATATATATATATATATATATATATATATATATATATATATATATATATATATATATATATATATATATATTGAACTACGTTGAACTAAATTAAAATGGCGCAGTTCTGTTTTATTAAGCTCAGTTGTTTAGAATTCTTAGCGAATCAGAGTGGACATATATATATATATATATGTAGCGTTATGAATATGCCATTTCTGCCCTTAACAGCTGCCCTTTGACACAGTGACAGTGTGCATAAATTGCCAAGGTCGTGCGCTTGCTTCTGATGTTTACATTCCAGCAAAGAAGACAGAAGAAGGACGAAGAACGCAGTTCATTAGTTAATCAAAGAACTGTATTTCTAATAAAGCTAATCAAAACAACTGTTGGTCAATAATAATCAGGTGACCGATCTGTGAAATCACAATGTTATGATTTATGTATTTAATGAATAACAGGACTTGGGGCTAACTGAGCTAGACATTGTAGCATTATGGTTTAGGCTCTTTTATGAAAGAGGAACCATTTTACATATTAATTTGTGATATTAATTTTATTAAATTAATAACCAAATTGTATAGTTTTAAGAAGACTCAAAGGTTGTTTTCATCGATAAACTGACGATAATATCCGTGTGTCTGTGTTTCAGTTCAATGAAGAAACAAGTTTGAAAGTTAAAAGATTTAATTCTTCAAACTAAACTAATGATTTTTGAAATGACAAACATCGAAATGACAATCAACATTGGCAACTTTGTTGAACAATCTTTAACAGTTAATATTGTAAACTTGCTCAAATAGTCCTGGTTTTGGAGGTGCTGAAGATTGAGAGTGATGTGATGTGATTATGGATGCGTGTGTGCAAAGTGTAGTGAGAATTGAAAATGAGGTGAGATGAATGCGTGTGTGCATCTGATTTTGCTTCAGGAAGAAACAGGTGTCTGAGTGAAAAGTGATGGTTTGGATAAACTTAGGTTTTGTTTGAAAAGATGCAGCAACGCTATCTATCGTGTTCTGTCTCACCGTATTCGGACCCTCCTTTTGGACCCGGGATGTCAAAGGACGATGTTTCATCCAGGGGTGACACCTCGGCTGGCAGAGAAGACGAAGGCGTGCTGCGACCCGGTCCAGGAGATGACCTCGGTACACGTGAGGATAAAGCGTTTGCAGATGTGCTTTCTTAAGTTTAATTCACTCAGAAAATCAAAGACTCTGGATGAGTCTGCGTTAGCGATTGTAATTAAGCTATTCCTGTCTGTCTTACAGGAATAGCGTGAGAGGGGGGGGGGGGGGGGGGGGATGAGCCAATAGGCTCCGTCCCCCCTTTAGCATTTATTCAGGTCTCCTCTCTTTCGTTGTCAAGCACGAACTGAACCAAGAGCTGAAACTTACCAAAAGCCTTTCTCTTCTCAAAGCAAAACGTGTGCGTCAGCAAATGTGTTTTGGAGTTTACTGTGAGAATCTGTGTGTGGGTGTGTTTGAGTGTGTGTGTGTGTGTGTGAAGGTCACCACTAAAACATCCTCAAACATTATTTAATTAAGTATGGATTCATTAATCCCTTATAATTACCCAAAGCATAATAATCATTCATTTGATTAAAACACATTTATAATGAGCAAAATGATAAGGATTAATCTTTATCATTAAAATAGAGAAAAGGAAGTTTAAGACTTGTTATGACTACATTTCCATGGGAACACATCTTCTGGTACTGCAGGTGGCAGATGTTATGGTTTCCAGCAGACTCTTGCAGACTTCATGTCTGCAAAGGTCTCAATCTGTGGGTGAAAGTTCTCAGCGACCCAGCTATTGACCCAGCTGAGCCAAGTATCACCTTTGTGACAGAAAACCCATATTTCCTCACGTTACATTCCCCCCCTTCGCGACGACATGGTGGTCAAGCAAAAACCACCTGACGTCGTGACCTCATTAACGTGACGAACTCATGAAGGTAGACATGCATGTTCCAGATGAAGGTAGGAGTGATGAAGCGTCTCCCCAGGCCTCGTGTAGAAAGGAGTATATCCTGATCAGCTGATTAAGGCCCAAAACTGTTGCAAATCATTGTAAAGTAATCCACTTAGGAAATCTTGAAAGCAGAGCTATTTCAATAGCAGTTAATTTTCATCAGCAATAATGTAAAGGTATATTCAAAGGATAAGGTAGCCCGTGTGTCCACACAGAGGTGGGCAGGTGATGTAATCCTCGGGCGTAGTCCAGGTGAAGTCCAGTGACGACCTCGACTCCTCTCAAATCACAACCGAAGCCCCATGCGACAGGAAACCAGATGAAGTAAGGTGAAGACGACCCCTCAGACGAGCTCGAAGAAGGAGACAAAGTGAGACAGCCCGTACGATAGATTGCGCTTGATGCAAATCAAAGAAATGATCAAAAACCTATCTATGGGTACCTCTGGGAAAATGTGAAGGCATTTTGTGAATTATCTAAAGAAGAAATGTTCTGCACCCTGTTCTACATGTCGTGTGAAAACATGATGCAGAGAAAACACAAATAAAAGAAATTAAATCCTAACTGATATGTGAAAATCAGCAGGCTGCACTTATTAAAGGCTTATAAAAAAATGAAAATGAAGGGCAAATTGGCTTGTAGCCCGTTAAGGGAAACTTTAACAGGTTAAAATTTGTAATCAAAAATAATCACATTACACAAAGCACTAATAAAAGATAGAGGTGTAAATCAGTTCTAAAAATGTAAATCAGTAGGTTAGTAAACCCTAAAAATGTGAGTTAGTAACAGGACCCTGGCTGGAGGCAGGTATCCTGAAAAAAACTCAAAGGATATCACATTTGTTAAAAATTCATCCAACAAAGATTGAATTTGTAACGTTCCACCAGTTAGTGGAAAAGAATTCGGTCAGAATTGATGTTCAGAAAGCGGTTTGAATCTGGTGTTGCGAACCCACAGAGAAACAAGTCTGAATTTATCTGTGGGAGCCGTGTCATAATAGATTTGGTCATCGTGCGGTTTGTATCTGGTGTTACGAACCCACAGGGAAACTTGTTTGAATTTACCTCTAGGTCCCGTTTGGAACTGGAGCGAAGCGGATGGTTTAGTTGTTAGATCAGAACCTGATTTTACCTGTTCAAAGATGTTTATCAGCTTAACGCAGGCGACTTTGTTGTGATCAGAAATAGTAGTGAACTGGAGATGCGAAAATGATGCTCGCAAAGCAGGAGGAGGCTCCCCACCCTCCTTTTGTTTATCAAACCTATGCCGTGTCTGTGAGACAGGAGAAGCATAACAAACCACAGTTCTTAAGCTCTTAAAAGCCCTATTACCAAGAAGACGCACATAGTCACCTGAATCGTGCTGAAAGAGCAGGTGTGCAGATGTCCAACGATCTGGGGGTGTTGGACCTAGAGGTTCTGAAAAGGAGTTATCCAAGGATGGTTGTGTCACGGGTGTCAAAGCAAACCTAGCCATGTGTAGAACCAGATACAGACATGTTGCTAGCTTTAGGAACATGGTCTGTCCTGAAAACTGAAGCCAAGAATACTTTTTTCCCAAGAATGATGGAGGTTCCCACACAGGATCAGAAAAACCCGATTTAACCAGAGTAGTTACAGACTGACTAAAGTTCCGCCCCGTAGAAGGTGCAGCACCTATCTCCGGGTCGGAGGTCAAAGTTGTCAGCTGAAGTGGTGGAAGGTCAGTGTCGATTTCTGCAATGACCCGCCCGCTCGGAGGAGGGGCTCCCCCGAATAGCCTGAAGTCCGCAACGGAAAACTCAGTGCCACTCAGCACCTCCCCTTTGTCAGGCGGGGCCCTGAGCAGAGCATCACTGCACACACCTACTACTCCCGGGCCGGGAGGCCACCCCGTGCCCGTTAGAGAGGTGAATGCAGCAACCACCGAGACTCCCTCAATATCGCCACTGACCACAGGACTGCTGGAAACCGCAGGATTTTCCGCGCCATCGTGGTCACCCGAAAGAGAAATCACAGGAAAGAGAGCACAGGGGCCAGGGACAGAGTCACACCCCTGTGAAAGAAGAAAAGAGTCGGCCACCGTATTAGCAGAGGTCACAAACTGAGAAATGACACGGTCATTCACAGAAAGGTCAAGATGTCCAGGCACAAACCCTTTAAATGGCAGGATGGCCACGTCTGGAGGCCTCAAGCGCGTCACGGCGGCTGATGTATTCATCTCGCCCCGTGAAACAAGCAGGTTTGTGCATGATGTGGACTGATGATGGATGCAGACCTCCGACTCAAGCGGTTTAGCACAGCTGGAAGAATTCACACCCATGCTGGAGAGATGTTCATCACCTAACATGGTGGAAACAGAAAAAGCATCAGGAACCACAGGTTGAATCACAAGCTGTTTGTCAGAATGGTTAACCATAGGCTTAAGAGATTTATTTAGAATAAAAGTAGCAGAGAAAGTGTCGTTTATTTCAAACCCTGATGTTATTGGTGGGGTGTTGACCCCCCTTAAGAAATAAAGGCATAGATATAGCATTATGACTGAAAACATCGAATTTTTAAAGCTCACTTCAGGAAGTGCATAGCAGAACCACCTCCGACCCAGAGTAGCTGGTACCGAAGCGCCGTCATCCGTCCCCATGTCTGGGCCTTTGGGCTCCAGAGTCCGCACCCCCACCGCGCCAGACCGGCGGCTCCCGGTTAAGGGTCGGCCGTCCGCGTACGCGGCGGGACCAGCGTGGCCCGGCCGGTAAACAGTCTCCTGTGTCTTGGTGTGTTCTGTAAGCAGATCGTTAGAGAACCTTACATCAGGTGTAACAGTACAAGAGAGATTTTGTCGTGTCTCGTCCATTTCTCATTAAATACAGAGCAAATCGCGTTTTTACCTTCTGAGCCCACGTATAACACCCGGTACAGCCCCCTTAATTCATCTCACAATTAAGGACTGCCCGTTGTGTAAACTTAACTTTATGGCACAGGGTAAAACAAGGAATTGTTGATAGAGAAATGAATGTAACACAACTTCACCACAAGATGGAAGAAAAAGTCATGGAACCGGCAGAACGGAGGCCCTGAAGCCTGGATCTTTCCACCAGCCCAAATAGAGTGGAAACCTACGCGGTTGTGATGGTATTAGATGGATAAAACCTCCCGTCTTACTCCGACGGAAGGCCACGTAGCAAAATGTCGATTCAACACACCGGAGTGTTTTACAAGAACCGCCGCCAAAGCGGATTTTAGGACGCAGAAGCACTGCGACAGAACGGTTTTACTGCTTATCGGGGTGTGCACCCCGAGCGTAAACCGGAGTGACTCCTTAGCTCTTCGGCTAAGCTTGATAATGTCTGGGGCGACCAGAACGAAAATTGCCCATTTAGCCAAACGTCCCTTAGCGACGAGGTAATGTTTAGGGTCTTTAGCGTTCCCACTCTGGGGTGGAGATACGCTCTCCAGCGTGTTATGTCTTACAGCGAGATTAATATTCACCAGAACTATTACTGCACACGAGGTTCACCGGAAAAGGACAAACGCGGATCAGACGTTGCCAGAACGGAATAATATTCCGACGGGGATGAAGTTATCTCCGATTTTAGAATTGCTCGCACACGGTGTCCAAAACACCGCAACGAAGGTCTTACTTTTAGGCAAAGGGAAAGTTACTTGAATGAAGCGGCTAGCTGTTAGCTGATATCAGAGCGGAAAGTTAAATTTCCGACCTGAAGAGTTCAGAGACGCGATGTCTCGTCAAAATGGACAGTATATTGTGAAAGACCCCACTCACCCAGCATCTCACCGAAGGGCGAAGATGGGAAAACTCACAGGAGTCGCTAAATTTGCGGTTAATTTGTGACCGGAGATTTAGATGGAACTTCCACAGAAATATCGTCCCCCGGACGTCTCCAGAGGACCGAATTTAGTGTAGAACAACTTCCGGTTTGTCGAAATAAGGCATCAAAGTGAAACACAGAGAAAACGCGTAATTTTGTTAAAAATTAGCTTTTAGATGGAATAAATGGATATATCGCAGATATAGAAGTCTGGATAAGCTCGCCAATTAATGTAGCGTTATGGTTTATGCTCTTTTATGAAAGAGGAACCATTCTACATATTAATTTGTGATATTAATTTTATTAAATTAATAACCAAATTGTATAGTTTTAAGAAGACTCAAAGGTTGTTTTCATCAATAAACTGAAGATAATATCCGTGTGTCTGTGTTTCAGTTCAATGAAGAAACAAGTTTGAAAGTTAAAAGTTTTAATTCTTCAAACTAAACTAATGATTTTTGAAATGACAAACATCGAAATGACAATCAACATTGGCAACTTTGTTGAACAATCTTTAACAGTTGATATTGTAAACTTGCTCAAATAGACCTGGTTTTGGAGGTGCTGAAGATTGAGAGTGATGTGATGTGATTATGGATGCGTGTGTGCAAAGTGTAGCGAGAAATGAAAATGAGGTGAGATGAATGCATGTGCGTCTGATTTTGCTTCAGGAAGAAACAGGTGTCTGAGTGAAAAGTGATGGTTTGGATAAACTTAAGTTTTGTTTGAAAAGATGCATCAACGCTATCTATCGTGTTCTGTCTCACCGTATTCGGACCCTCCTTTTGGACCCGGGATGTCAAAGGACGATGTTTCATCCAGGGGGGACACCTCGGCTGGCAGAGAAGACGAAGGCGTGCTGCGACCCGGTCCAGGAGATGACCTCGGTACACGTGAGGATAAAGCGTTTGCAGATGTGCTTTCTTAAGTTTAATTCACTCAGAAAATCAAAGACTCTGGACGAGTCTGCATTAGCGATTGTAATTAAGCTATTCCTGTCTGTCTTACAGGAATAGCGTGGGGTGGGGGGGTGGGGGGGGGGGGGGGAATGAGCCAATAGGCTCCGTCCCCCCTTTACCGTTTATTCAGGTCTCCTCTCTTTCGTTGTCAAGCACGAACTGAACCAAGAGCTGAAACTTACCAAAAGCCTTTCTCTTCTCAAAGCAAAACGTGTGCGTCAGCAAATGTGTTTTGGAGTTTACTGTGAGAATCTGTGTGTGGGTGTGTTTGAGTGTGTGTGTGTGTGTGTGTGTGTGTGTGTGAGTGTGTGAAGGTCACCACTAAAACATCCTCAAACATTATTTAATTAAGTATGGATTCATTAATCCCTTATAATTACCCAAAGCATAATAATCATTCATTTGATTAAAACACATTTATAATGAGCAAAATTATAAGGATTAATCTTTATCATTAAAATAGAGAAAAGGAAGTTTAAGACTTGTTATGACTACCTTTCCATGGGAACACATCTTCTGGTACTGCAGGTGTTCAGATGTTATGGTTTCCAGCAGACTCTTGCAGACTTCATGTCTGCAAAGGTCTCAATCTGTGGGTGAAAGTTCTCAGCGACCCAGCTATTGACCCAGCTGAGCCAAGTATCACCTTTGTGACAGAAAACCCATATTTCCTCACGTTACAACATCCTGATTCACATAAGGTAAACACATGACACATTGTTCACTCATCCAATCAGAACTTCCTTTCTGATGCATGGCAGAGTTCTGTGGTGTTTAGTTAATCTGTCCACTCTGATTCGCTAAGATTCCTAAACAACTGAGCTTAATAAAACAGAACAGCGCCATTTTAATTTAGTTCAACGTAGTTCAACTTGGATCAACGCAGATCCAACCAAGTACTCAACCAGCTCTCAAATCCATCTGATGTCCATCATCGCTAAGTGAAGTACAGACTGGCCAGCTGTATTTTCTACTTTTATGCTGAGAACTGTCAAGCTGGAAAATTCTGTCGTTTTATCAACAAGACGACGGTTCCTTCAGAATAAAAGCTGAACTCTCTGACCCAAAAAGGGGGGGTCTCTACGTGACGCTGAAAACCTGCCGTTGTACCGAGAGACGATCCATAGACTGGTTTGTCGTGCTGCCGACGCTGTTTCACCAGTTCCAGCACCAAGGAGGGTCCGAGGACCTGGCATCCGGATCTAACACGGAAGTCTCTGCACGGTACGTAGATCGGCATAGATTGCGTCTCATGTCTTCCTCCTGAAGTCCATCGTCGGTCAGTTAGGAGCGAACAACATCTCGCACTCAAACTCGCCTCCACCAGATGGAGATTCTGAACTGACACACACACCAACAATTCAGCATTACATTCATCTGCATCCATCATTAGAGAGTTAGTCCTGGTGATTGTTTCAAATAATTATAAAAAATAAATATTCTTAAACGTCCCATCTCTCTCTCTCTTCTTGTCTCTAATTCAATACAAGGTGTTTGAATAAAATTCCCTGTAGTAAAAACAACCTCTTTTGATTCTAAGGGCCCGGTCCAAAGATTAATGATCCACCTCAGGTTTGGATCAGACATATCTGGGGACCTTAATAAAAGTGTAAGAATATACCAATCATATTCCGCTACATATATATATATATATATATATATATATATATATATATATATATATATATATATATACATATATATATATATATATATAGCCATGCCCCAATGTGGGGGCTGGGGGGTGCGTCGTCATGGTCGGGACATAGAAGGGGGTGCGCGGCTAAATAAGTTTGGGAACCACTGACCTACACTATAACCAGAATTCAAACATATATGTAATTTAGATTTTTAGAGAAAAAGATGGTCAAAATATCTCATAATGCTGATCCAGAGTATGCATTTGTATATTTTCAAGAATCTATTTCTCAGTAACGCATAATCTGGATAGGAGTTACTTTGACCTGCTCAAACCACAATCTCAGAAAGGTGCTCTGACTCCCTCATACTTTAGTTTATATAGATAGAGCTGAAATGACACCTTTAGCTGCTGTAAAATGTGTACGTGAAATGTGATTATAACATTCAAAACATAATATCACACAGGGTGTTGGAGACAGAAAACTTAAGATGGAAAACAAACTAAGGGCTGTTATGGTAAGGACTAATTCAATCGTTCATGCAGCACCCCCTGGTGGTTGTGCCGTGTGTGTGTTGGGTTGTTGCAGTTGGGCAATAAATGGAGTCGCTACGTTAAGACAGAGCTGGCCCAGTTTCGTTAATGTTGCCGCTATTATAAACCGGAGGGCTACCAAAACATGGTGTCAGAAGTGCTCTGGAGGGAAGAACTTCAAGACAACGGAAGATTTCTCACCGGAGAGGACTCACCTTGCAAGTGGGCATTAACAGCCACAGTAAGAGCTAAGCTAACAAATTAGCAAACGCTAACTAGCATCGGGCAATTAGCAGCATGGCAGCCGCGCCGGCAGCTTTCCAGGTATCACCGCCGCCGAAGTTCGACTTTTCAAAGCCAGAAGAGTGGCCGAAATGGATCAGACGCTTTGAGAGGTTCAGGATAGCATCCGGATTCGAGCTACAATCAGACGAAAACCAGGTTAACACTCTGATATATACAATGGGCGATGAAGCTGAAGACGTGATTACTTCGTTGAACCTGACCGAGGAGGAGGCGAGTGAGCACCCCACTCTCTAAGATAAACTTGAGGCACACTTCGTAGTCAGAAGAAATGTTATCTTTGAACGTGCAAAGTTCAACCAAAGGCAGCAAGAAACGGGAGAGACTGCAGATGGATTTATTACATCCCTATATGCCTTGGCTGAGCATTGTGGCTACGGGGCGCTGCACAGTGAAATGATAAGGGACAGACTCGTGGTCGGAATAAGAGACAAGAGGCTCTCG